ACTCTCTGAGGAATTCAGGCATTTTGATTTATGCCTGAGAGCTTTGGGGTACAATGGGGAGGGTTGTGTTCATTAGCTACCGTGGTCACATCCATCCTGTGGCCATGGGCAAAGATCCTTCATCCTCAGAGAGGCTGAGAAAGCTCCATGGCTGGCCCTAAAACTTTTTTTTTTTTGCTTATGAGATAGGATCTCAGCTGAGAGTGATGACTTATGCCTGCAATCTCACTACTTTGGGAGGTCGAGGTGGGCAGATCACCTGAGGTCAGGAGTTCAAGACCAGCCTGGCCAACATGGCGAAACCCTGTCTCTACTAAAAATACAAAATTAGTCTGGTGTGGTGGCGCACACCTGTAAGCCCAGCTACTCAGGAGGCTGAAGCAGGAGAATCACTTGAACCCAGGAGGTGAAGGTTGCAGTGAGCCAAGATCACGCCATTGCAGTCCAGCCTGGGCGACGAGAGCAAAACTCTGGATCAAAACAAAAAAAAAAGATAGGATCTCACTGTGTCACTATGTCACCCAGGCTGGAATGCAATTAGTGTGGTCACGGCTCACTGGAGCCTCAACCTCTCAGGCTCAAGCAGTCCTCCTGCCTCAGTCCCAAACAGCAGGGACTACAGGCACCTGCCACCATGACGGACTAATATTTTTTTTAACTCTTTGTAGAGATGACATCTCACTTTGTTGCCCAGGCTGGTCTTGAACTCCTGGGCTCAAGCAATCTTCCCTCCTTGGCCTCCCAAAGTGCTGGGATTACAGATGTGAGCCACCAGGCCCAGCCTCCTAAAACTTTGTATTCAGGATCTTCCTGAATACAAAGGATCTCATGAGATTCATTAGGGAGCAGGAAGTATGTGTGAGCCAAAGTGACTGAAGATAATTCTGTCCTTTGCTCCCAAAGAAGCTTCTGGTTTTTTGTTTTGTTTTGTTTTGTTTTGTTTTAAGAGACAGGGTCTCACTCTGTTACCCAGGCTGGAGTGCAGTGGCCCAATCATAGCTCACTGCAGCCTCAAACTCCTGGGTTCAAGCAATCCTTCTGCCTCAGCCTCCCAAATTGTTGGAATTACAGGTGTGAACCGTGACACCTGGCCTGATTTTGAATACATTTTGCCTTGCCAACGAACTAAACACCCTTAGCATCTGATCTGGCCTGCCTTTCTTCTTCGTTCTTATCACTTTAGGTGTTTCTTTGATTCCCTGCCATTCTCTTGGTTTGCTCTTTGGTTTGGTGAGTTGAAGATATCTTCTATGGCTTCAAATATCACTTCCTTCTCCTGGGCAACATAGCAAGACCACATCTCGACAAAAATAAAAATAAAATTATTAGCTGAGCTTTGTGGCACGTGCCTGTAGTCCCAGCTACTTGGGAGCATGAGGTAGGAGGACTGATTGAGCCCAGGAAGTCGAGATTGTAGTGAGCCACGATCATGCCACTGCACTCCAGCCTGGGCGATACAGTGAGTCCCTGTGTCAAAAATAAAAAAGAGGAAATGGATCATGGGAAGGCCAAGACACCATTGTCCTCTCCAATATGGCAGCCAGAGCTCAATGAGTTGAAAAGTGAGCTCTTTGCCCTCCCCTCTAAACTTCGTCTCCCAATTTCCACCATCGCTTCTTAAGGGCCATGTCATTCTCTACCAGTCACCCAAACTCAAAACTCTTTCACTCATCAAGTCCTAATAATTCTTTCTTCAAAACACTTCTCACATCTACAGACAGTATGAAAATAAAAGCGACACAGGTAACCTGTAAGTAGTAACTTCTAGCCTTCATTGGTGTTTACTTCTTAGGAGAGGGGGAAAGATACACCATAAACAAATAAACAGGTCTGTATAGGGATGTGAAATGGTGATACTTAACCTGGAGAACAAATAGGATAAGGGAGAAGAGATGAAGAAGAATCAGAGTGAGGGATGGGGATGTTATGAGTATGTCCGTCGGAGACATGGTGTTGGGGGTGGGCAGACATCCTGAGCAGTAGCTGTATATATATATATATATATTTTTGAGATGGGGCCTTGCTATGTTGCCCACTCTGTCTTGAACTCCTGGGCTCCAGCGATCTCCCAAGCTAAGCCTCTCAAATTGCTGTGATTACAGGTGTGAGCCACTGTGCCTGGCCAAGGCAGTAGGTGTTCAATGGTTGCATCAGAAATCACTAAAGTTCTGGGCTTGAGATTTTCGTTTTCCTGGGTTAATGCTGTTAGTTATTTATTGAGCGTTTACAGCGTGTGGGCCCTGTGCTGGAAGCGTCTCATTGATCCTGAGGACTCCTGTATTACAGCTGAGGAAGTCCAAGCTCTGGAGGATTAAGTGAACAGCCCAGAGACCCCCAGCAAGGATTTGAACCCAAGTGGGGCCGTGCAAAGCTAGTACTTTTAGCCATTGTACTATGAAAGCAATATAAATTACTGATCTCTGATTGCCCTGTAGATGTTTCTGAAATAGTCTTTTACTTATTTTGAAACAGTATCTCACTCTGTTGCCCAGGCTGGAGTACAGTGAAGCAAACTTGGCTTACTGTAACCTCTGCCTCCTGGGTTCAAGCAATTCTCGTGCCTCAGCCTCCTGAGTAACTGGGATTACAGGTATGCACCACCATGCCTGGCTAATTCTTTTGTATTTATAGTAGAGACAGAGTTTCGCCATGTTGGCCAGGCTTGTCTTGAACTCCTGATCTCAGGTGATCCGCCTGCCTCAGCCTCCCAAAGTGCTGTGATTACAGGCGTGAGCTACCACGCCTGGCCTGAAACAGTCTTTTAACTAGCTTTTTACTTTGTAATAATTGTAGATTTATAGAAAAGTTGCAAAGATAGTACAGAGAGTGCCCGTATGCCCTCCATTCAGCTCCCCCTAATGTTAACATCTTAGATAACCTGGATATGTTTGTCAAAACCACAAAATTAGGCCCAGCGCGGTGGCTCATGTCTGTAATCCCGACAGTGGGAGGCTGAGGTGGGAGGATTGCTTGAGCCTTGGAGTTCAAGATCAGCCTCGGCAACATAGTGGAGCTCATCTCTGCAAGAAGTTAAGAAATTAGCCAGGGATCGAGCACCTGTAGTCCTACGTACTTGAGAGGCTGAGACAGGAGGATCACTTGAGCCCAGGAGGTCAAGTCTGGAGTGACCCATGATCACACCACTGCACTCCAGCCAGGGTAACAGCACGTACAAAATTAACGTTGCTACAATGCTATTAACTAAACTTTAGACTCAGTTTGGACTTGGATTTCTCCGGTTGTTCCACTACTGTCCTTTTTCCACTCCAGAATCCAATCCAGAATACAACATTGCCTTTAGTGAAACAGTTTTTAAGTTGTATTATAAGTTATTTTTCACCACCAACCACCCCGCCAAATTTTTTTTTTTTTTTTTTTTTTTTTTTGAGACGGAGTTTCGCTCTTGTTACCCAGGCTGGAGTGCAATGGCGCGATCTCGGCTCACCGCAACCTCCGCCTCCTGGGCTCAGGCAATTCTCCTGCCTCAGCCTCCTGAGTAGCTGGGATTACAGGCACGTGCCACCATGCCCAGCTAATTTTTTGTATCTTTAGTAGAGACGGGGTTTCACCATGTTGACCAGGATGGTCTCGATCTCTCAACCTCGTGATCCACCCGCCTCAGCCTCCCAAAGTGCTGGGATTACAGGCTTGAGCCACCGCGCCCGGCTCACCCCGCCAAATTTTTTAAATCAATATTTAAAAATGGCTGGGTGTGGTGGCTCAGGCCTGTAATCTCAGCACTTTGGGAGGCAAAGGCAGGCGGATCACTTGAGGTCAGGAGTTTGAGACCAGCCTCGCCAGTGTGGCAAAACCCTGTCTCTACTAAAAGTACAAAAATTAGTTGGGTGTGTTGGCACATACCTGTAGTCCCAGTTGCTCAGAAGGCTGAGGCAGGAGAATCACTTGAACCCAGGAGACGGAGGTTGCAGTGAGCCGAGATCACGCCACTGCACTCCAGCCTGGGTGACAGAGCAAGACTCTGTATCAGAAAAAAAGAAAAAAAAAAAAAAAAAAACCCAACTGCCGGGCGCGGTGCCTCAAGCCTGTAATCCCAGCACTTTGGGAGGCCGAGGCGGGTGGATCATGAGGTCAAGAGATCGAGACCATCCTGGTCAACATGGTGAAACCCCGTTTCTACTAAAAATACAAAAAATTAGCTGGGCATGGTGGCGTGTGCCTGTAATCCCGGCTACTCAGGAGGCTGAGGCAGGAGAATTGCCTGAACCCAGGAGGCGGAGGTTGCGGTGAGCCGAGATCGCGCCATTGCACTCCAGCCTGGGTAACAAGAGCGAAACTCCGTCTCAAAAAAAAAAAAAAACAAAAACCCAACTTCAAAATCATTGAAAATGTGCCGGTCCTAGTCCTGGTAGTCTTACACCGATTTTTGCCATGTCCCTGCCCTGTCCCTGTCCTGCTCATAGGCTGCTGCCTGCGGTTCCATCGCCCAGGCTTCCTTGTCAGTGGGTTTCCTGCTGGTTCTGGCCAAGGGCAGGAGAAAGAGAGGAAGCAGGGTATTTCTCCTCCCTCACAGCCCCCCTCTTTGACCTGCATTTCTGGCAATGTCTCTATCTCCTCTGGGAACTGATGGCTGTGGCTCAAGCTTCCCCTGGGTGACCCTGGGCCTCAGGCTCACCACCTATTCATGTGGTGGTTTCCTGCCATTAACAACTGTGGGATGGCTTTACCTTCCCTGGTTGACCTCTCAACTCTTCCATCACTGACATAACCAGTCTCTGGTTTTGAATCCTTAGAATGGCATCTATCGTCCTCGTGGTCCCTGCCTGTCACAGGTGCCTGAGGCACCTCCACACTTGGTCTTCCTGCCCTTGTGGCCGTAACACTCTCACAAAGCCGAAGGCTGCTTTCAGTGAAAGGTTCTGTGTAAAAGCAACAGAGGACCTAAGATGAACTTTCGATGTCAACAGCTGTGGTTTCTGCAGCCACGCTAACCACACAGATGTCAGCACAGCTCCACTAACACCTATGTCTTTCTTTTGCAGGATGGCCAGAGACAATAAAAGCACAAGACCCAAATAGTCTTCCGAAGTCTCCATCTCTGAGGACGTACAGAGGCACAGAGGGCTGCTCACGAGATGGCTTTAGACATTCTCGCCATGGCACCTTTGTACCAGGTCCCCACCATCAACAGAATAGGGCAAAAGACAGACCCATCTAAAAAGCCAACTGACTCACTAAAACCCCTGGTCCCCTCTAAGACCAAACTCACCACCACTGAGGCCAAAAGGATCATGTCCGTCCTGGATGAGGCGATCTACAAGGTGGAGCTGGTGACCCTGCTGTCGTATGTGGCATCCAATCGAGGGGATGTGGAGGGGATGCTGGGGGAGGCCATCTTGAGGGCAGTGAGAGAGCACGAGGACCTCTGCCAGGTCCTCCTGGACAACGTCAGGTGCCTAAAGGAGAAAGAAAGGCAGCTGCAGGAGCAGGACGAGGTTAAGGAGGAAGGGTGGCTCAGAGACCGCCGCCTCTCCATAGAGCTGCAGAAATCCAGCCTCCCTCCACTTAGGCAGCAGATCAAAGACTCCACCAAGAATGTCCTGAGACTCTTGCTCAGCAACCCTCAAGCTGCCAGTTTCCTGCAGATGCAGACGCAGGGCAGAAGCGCAGAAGCCCAGCGTTTGATTGACAGCCTGAATGAGCTCCGTGGTTTCCTGTTTGAAAAACTCCTCACTGGCCCCATGGAAGCGAGGGACAAAGCCCAGTTCATACAGGATATCAGTAAACAGAATAGTATGAACCAACAAATCATCGATACTCTTGAAAATGAATTGGCGGAGAGGATGAAGGACAGACACGCGGAGGTATTGTTTCACAGTACCGCTGAAACTGCAGAAGGAGCCACACTCACTGGCCCAGATCTTTTTCTTTCTTTTTTTTTTTTTTTGAGACAGAGTCTCACTCTGTCGTTCAGGCTGGAGTGCAGTGGTGTGACCTCGGACTCATTTTGATACTAATTTTTGTACTTTTAGTAGAGACAGAATTTTACCATGTTGGCCAGGCTGGTCTTAAACTCCTGGTCTCAAGTGATCCTCCTGCCACGGCCTCCCAAAGTGCTGGGATTACAGGCGTGAGCCACCGCACCTGGCCCCAACTTTTTCTACAAAGGGTCAGATAATAAATACATTAGGCTTTGTGGGCCAGATGGTCTTTGTTGCAATTACTTAACTTAGTTCTGCTGTTATGGGGAAAAGCAGCCATATGGAAATGAATGGACTGTGTTAGAACAAAACTTTCCCTAACAAATGCAAGTTTGGATTTGGCCTGTGGGCCACAGTTTGTCAACCCATGTTCCAGGTGGAGGGTAGAGTGTACCTCAGTCATGAGATAGGAATAAGCCTGGCTAGTTCAGAAACCCAGAGAAGGCCAGTGAGCTAGAGGGAAGGGCCAAGATAGGCTGGGAAAGCAGGGGAGGAGACAGATCACGTGGGGCCTTTGAAGCCTAATCAAGGAATTTGGTCTTTAGAAGTTTTTAGTTTTAGAGACAAGATCTCGCTCTGTCACCCAGGCTGGAGTCCAGTGGCACGATCATAGCTCACTGCAGCCTTGACATCTGGGGCAATTCTCCTGCCTTAACTTATTGTATGGCTGAAACTACAGGCATGCACCACCTTGCCTGGCTAATTTTTAAAATTTTTGTAGAGACGGTGTCTCACTATGTTGCCTAGGGTAGTCTTGAACTCCTGGAGCTCAAGAAATCCCCCTCCCTCAGCCTCCCAAGTAGCTATGACTACAGGCACATGCCACCACACCTGCCTAATTAAGTTTTTTTTTTAGAAATGGGATCTCTGGCCAGATGTGGTGGCTCACACCTATAATACCAGCACTTTGGGAGGCCAAGGCGAATGGATCACTTGAGGTCAGGAGTTCGAGACCAGCCTGGCCAACATGGCAAAACCCCCTCTCTACTAAAAAAAATTACAAAAAATAGGTGAGCATAATGGCTCATGCATAATCCCAGCACTTTGGGAGGCTGAGGCAGGTGGATCACCTAAGGTCAGGAGTTCAAGATTAGCCTGATCAACATAGTGAAACCCTGTCTCTACTAAAAATACAAAAATGAGCCAGGCATGGTGGCAGGCTCCTGTAATCCTAGCTACTCAGGAGGCTGAGGTAGGAGAATCGCTTGAACCCGAGAAGTGGAGGTTCAAGTGAGCCAGGATTGCGCCATTGCACTCCAGCCTTTGCAAGAGTGAGACTCTGTCTAAAATAAATAAATACATAAATAAATACAAGAAAATAAACACAAAAAAGAAATGAGGTCTCACTCTGTTACTCAGGCTGGTCTCAAACTCCTAGTTTAGAGATCCTCCAGCCTCAGCCTCCTGAGTAGCTAGGATTATAGGCATACCACCGTACCAGCTAGAAGAATTTTTTTTTTAAGAAGGGAAATGTGGGCATGGTGGCTCATGCCTGTAATCCCAACACTTTGGGTGGCCAAGGCAGGTGGATCACTTGAGCTTAGGAGTTTGAGACCAGCCTGGGTAACATAGTGAGGCCCTGTCTCTACGTAAAAGACAAAATTAACTGGGCGTGGTGGTACACACCTGTAGTGCCAGCTACTCAGGAGGCTGAGGTGGGAGGGATCACTTGAACCCAGAAGGCGGAGGTTGGAGGTGACAGGGAGCTGAGACACCACTGTACTCCAGCCTGGGCTACAAAGAAACACCCTATCTCAAAAAAGAAAAAAGGGGAAAGGTAGCATGATCCTCAACCTAATAATAATCATATTGGACACATACAGTGTATTTGTTTTACATACATTTTCTCTCTAAATCTTTACTAAAACCCTGTGAGATGGTGTATAAGTACAGATTTGGCTGCTCTGACAGACACACCCAAAATAGCTGTGGCTGAGTCAAGACAGCCATGTATTTCTCTGTAGTAGAAACACCGGAGCTGGTGTGGCATCCCTGCTTCCCAACCTGTCAGGGGTTCTGGCTTCTTCGATGTGACTTCTCTACTGACCCCCACATGGGAGTTCTGCCTGTGGGACAAGATGGCTGCTCCAGCTTTCCCCATCATGTGGCCCCCCGTCCAGCCAGCAGGAAGGAGGAAAGGGGAGGAGAGGGCTTGGTTCCACCCCTTAAGGACCACACGTGGAGGTCCCACACAGAACTTCCACGCACACCTTGTAGCCACACCCAGCAGAGAGAGGTGCTAGGAAGGACCGACCGCCTGTCACCCTGTTCTCCTACACATCTAGCCTGCAGCCTCTCTGGAGAGAGCAGACACGGGGGCTAGCCAGGCTGCACTGCCACGGCACTTCTCTTTCTCTCCCCAACCACTGACAAGAGGTTCAAGGCGCTGGCAAGCTGTTTACTGCCCTCCCTCCCCCAGGTGCTAGGTTGGGCGCTTCTCACTGACTTTGTCCTTTAAAGCATTCAGCCGACTTTGTGGGTGACATACCTTTGTGTGATTTGTGTGGTCTTGAGAGATCTGGCTCCTCCACAAGAAAAGGGGGCCCTTGTCTCTTTCAGCCTGCCACACACTGTGTCCCCAGTGAGCCTGTCCAAAAGAGGGGCATGGTGTATACTTGCTGAGTGGACAGGCGACAGGCTTCTGGGCCCTTGAGCAGGGAGGTCACTGGTAAGGTGGGAGGAACATCCTCTAGGAATAGGCAGAGGGACACAGGGGGCCCTGCTGGTCTCATTCGGGTGCTAGAACCTGAAGGGGCTTCACCTTGGGCTAACTTGGGGTCAGATACCCTTTTTGCCAGGTGTGCAAATTTCATGTCATCGAACCTCAGTGTACAATGAAGGGGAGACACCAATCAGGGAGGTGGTGGGGAGTCTACCAGGAGAGCTGTGACTGCTAAGCATACTCCCGCACCTGGTGCCTAGAGCCTTCATGCAGGACAGGCTTGCCCCGAAGGTGCTGCCTCCCTGCCCCCAGTGTGCAGGAAGTGAGCAGGTGCCCGGCGGGCCTGCTGCCGGCTGACCCAAGCCCAAGACTGTGGTGTGAGCAGCCATAGCACCACCGTGCTCAGACGGAGGCTCTACTGTTTCCGAGCAGCCTTGAGAGCTTCTTTACAAAACTGTCTCATCCTCCACCCCATTCCTGTTCTAGAATCCACCCAAGGCAGGGGACAAGCCAGGTATGGGCCCTTGAGAGACAGCCTGGTGGCAATGCCTTCAGTCAGCCTTTGTCATACACATCCATGCCTCGCACCAAGTGTCTGCCAGCCGGGCCTCCCCGCCACGTCCTCAGGAGCATCACTGCCGTCCCAGTCCTTCCCTGTGGACTCCATCCAACAAGCTTGTACTCTCCACTCATGCAACGAAATGGAAAGTGGTGGCTCCAGGTCAGACGAGCCTGGCTTCAGACCCCAGCTCAGCTGGGCAACCACAGACAGATGAAGCCACCTCCTTGAGCCTCAGTTTTCTTGTCTGTAATCAGGCTATCCCTGACCTCCGCTGTGGGGTTGGGGTTATGATTAGAGAGATAATAGCACGTGTGGCATCCCTGGCCCCACTGGAGTGTGCAGTGGTGCCAGCCTCTGGTGACTGTCAGTGGGCATGGAGGTGTTTTTTTCTGAGATGGAGTCTCACTCTGTCACCCAGGCTGGAGTGCAGTGGTGTGATCACTCTCTGCAGCCTCCACTTCCCATGTTCAAGCGATTCTCCTGTCAGCCTCCCAAGTGGCTGGGCTTACAGGCACTCACCGCCACGCCCAGCTGAATTTTGTATTTTTAGCAGAGACAGGATTTCATCATGTTGACCAGGCTGGTCTCAAACTCCTGACCTCAGGTGATCCACCCACCTCAGCCTCCCAAAGTGTTGGGATTACAGGCATGAGCCACTGTGCCCGGCTGGGCATGGAGGTATTAACGGAGCCCTTTCTCTTCTTGGCTCAGATGGAAAAGGAGAACTTTGTGATCCAAGAACTGAAAAACCACCTGCACCAGGTGCTCAAGTTCTCAGAGAACAGCCTCCTTCGCACTAAGCAGGAGGCCGAGAAGCAGCAGAAGGCCGACTTCCGCGCATCGCAGGCCAGGGTGGCCAAGATCCAGCAGGAGATCCTGCAGCTGCAGTCACAGGTTTTCAGCCTGGTCATGGAGAACCGGGAGGCGGAGCAGGCGCTGAGGAAGGTGCCCTGGGAAGCAGGGAGGATGGGCCGGTGGGGTCCCTGGGGCGGGGGAGGGGTGGGACTGTCCTGTCACTCCTGGAGGTCCAGCAGTGTTGAGCAGGGCAAGGCTGCACTGGCTACCCAGGAAGCAGCTTGGTGGAGGGGACGGCACAAGAGCAGAGAAGGCCCAAACCTGAGCCAGCATCCCCTGGGAGGCAGGAGCGGGCAGCACACACGCCTGGGGACCCTGTCCCCGCATTACTGCATGCCAGCTTTGTGGCCCTAGGCAAGTTCCTCAACTCTTCAGACCCCACAGGGATAATACCCACATCGTCGGAGGCTGGTGCAGTGCAAAGGAATAAAGAAGTGGCAAGTGAAGCTCAGGGAAATTATTCAACTCCCACCCACCTGCCAGTTTCACACCTCGGAAACAAAAATGCTAACATCCGTCTTCGTGGTTGTTACATGGGATGGTAGTGAGAGAGCTGGTGCATAGCAGGTGTTCAATAAATATCATTTCTGGCCGGCTAACGTGGCTCACGCCTGTAATCCCAACACTTTGGGAGGCTGAGGCAGGAGGATTGCTTGAGCCTGGGAGGCTGAGGCTGCAGTGAGCTGTGATGGCACCACTACACTCCAGCCTGGGCAACAGCGAGACCCTGTCTGTACAAAGAATAAAAGATATATTAGTCAGGCGCTATGGTGTGTGCCTGTAGTCCCAGCTACTTGGGAGGTTGAGGCAAGAGGATTGCTTTAGCCAGGACTTTGGAGGCTGTAGTGAACTATGACCATGCCGCTGCACTCCAGCCAGGGCAACAGAGTGAAACCTTGTTTCTTAAAAAAAAAAAAAAATAATAATAATAATAATAGCATCTCCATTTGCCTTCTCCTTTATCATCTCAGCTAAGACCCAGGCCTAGCACACATCCAACTTCCGAATCTTTTTCTGCGTATAAGGCACCCTTTCTAATACTTGTCCCCAGTCTCTTAGTGTCACACTCTAGAGCATCTGATGGAAGCCATTGGCCTATCCCCCAGAAGGAAGGCACAGATGCACATACACATCCTGGTAGACAGTTCCCCGGGGAGCCCAGGCCCCCTGAAGCCACCCTGCCCATGGTGCCCAAGCTAAGTGCTCTTGCTCTGTAGAATGGGTTTTTGTTTTTGTTTTTGAGACAGAGTCTCACTCCGTCACCCAAACCAGAGTGCAACGGCATGATCGTAGCTCACTTCAGCCTCCAAATCCTGAGTTCAAGCGATCCTCCCATCTCAGCCCTCATGAATAGCTGGGAATACTGGTGCACGCCGCCATGTCTGGCTAATTAAAAATCATCATTATTATTTTTTGTGGAGACAGGGTTTTGCTGTGTTGCCCAGGCTGGTCTAGAACTTGTGGCCTCAAGCAATTCTCCCATTTGGCCTCCCAAAAGGTTGGGATTACAAGCGTGAGCCACTGTGGCCAGCCTGTTTATTTTTAATTTAGGTGAAACAACATAGTATAAAACCATGTTAAAGTGAGCAAGTCGGTGGCATTTAGTGTATTCACGACCCCCACTTCCGCCACTTCTATCCAGTTCCAAAACATTGTCACCTCAAAGTAAAACTCCGTATCTGTTAAGAAGTTACTCCCCATTCCCTTCGTCCCCCGTCCCTGGCAGTCACTAACGTGCTTTCTGTCTCTGTGGATTCACTTATTCTGGACACTTCATGTGAATGGAATCCTCCGTGGCCTTTGTGTCCGCCATCTTTTATTTAACACCATGTTTTCAAGGTTCCGCCATGTTGTAGCATGGATCAGTGCTTCCTTGTTTTTTTCCGGTGGAAATAATCTTTTAAAAGCAGGGTTAGATCATGTCCCTCCACTGCCTCTACGTCACCCAGTGGCTTTGCCTCAGCCTCCCCTGAGAAGACAGCCTCCTCTTGCTGACACTCCCTCTGTGACACAGCCTTTCCCTGAGACCTTGTTGGGGACCACTTCCCTCCTGGCCACTCCCTTCCAGCCACACTGGCTCGATTTCTGTCCTTTAATGTTTTCGAGACAGTCTCCCTCTGTCGCCCAGGCTAGCGTGTGGTGTGGTGTGATCACAGATCACTGCAACCTTCATCTCCTGGGTTCAAGTGATTCTCCTGCCTCAGCCTCCCGAGTAGCCGGGATGACAGGTGTGCACCACCATGCCCAGCTAATATTTGTATTTTTAGTAGAGATGGGGTTTTGCCATATTGGGAGCCAGGCTGGTCTCAAACTCCTGGCCTCAAGTGACCTGCCTGCCTCAGCCTCCCAAAGTGCTGGGATTACGGGTGTGAGTCACAACACTGGGCCGATTTCTGTCCTTTAAACAGCACAAGCTTGTTCCTACCTCAGGGCCTTTGCACCTGCTGCTTTGTCTGCCTAGGATGTCCTGGAACCAGGCTGCCAGCTTCAAATTCAGGCTCTGCCACCCATTAGCTCTGTCACCTTGGGCAAGTGAGATAGCATGTCTGAGCCTCAGTTTCCTCACCTGTGAAATGGAGAAAAGGGAACCTCCTTGTGCGGGTTCAGTAGGTGAGGTGTGTAAAGCAGCTGCCACAGTGATGCAGAGGGTGCTCAGTGCTGTTGATTGATCATATTATTCCATCAAACAATGACGAATTGGATCTTTTCTAGAAGAAATACAAAGTGGAAACAGAAATCGAGAACTGGATCCAGAAATATGATACAGAGATGGGTGAGAAGCAGGTATTTGTCACTGAATAAGTCTCTCTCGTGTGCTTTTCCCAAGACCCTCTAGGGATGGGAGGGATCGGAGGAGCAGCCTTGGAATGGTCCACAGAGGGGCGAACTGAGCGTCTCTGAGGAGAGCACCTCCCTTTGCTTAAAGGGTTTGTCCAGCCTGGGGCAGAGTGAGAGGTGGGAAAGAAAAGAGCCAGAAGCTGCAAGGCCAGGTGTGGTGGCTCACACCTGTAATCCTAGCACATTGGGAGGCCGAGGTCAGAAGTTCGCTTGAGCTCAGAGTTCAAGACCAGCCTGGGCAACAGAGCAAGACCCTGTCTCTATTTAAAAAAAAAAAAAAAAAGTGACTGGCTAGGAGAAAGCCTTGACGCTGGGCCTAATGACTGTGGCTCCATCTAGTGTCCACATCCCATAGTCCTCTGGTTGAGCTCCTGCCAGTATGGGCCTCCTCCCTGCAGACTTAGATGGGAGTCTGCCTCCACCGCGTCAGTCACTCAGCCAGCTTTTTATTGAGCATCTGAGATTTGCCAGCTGTGTGGCCTTAAGCAAGGGACTTGACCTTCCCGAGCTGTTTCTGCATCTGATCAGCACAGGTGGTAGTTCCCATCTTGGGACCATAGTGGGGATTCAGTGAGGCTTCATGGCTGCATGTGTATGTGCCCCGTACAGGGTCTGGCCTGGAGGAAGTGCCCAGGGGGTGGTAACCTTCAAATCGACACCCCCAAACTCTTCACCCAGCCCTGGGATCACATTGGTGGCCCATGGCTCTGACCTAGAGGCCAGGGAGGCTGGGGGAGCACTGGAGGTAACATGAGCTGGAGTGAGCCAAAGCCAGGTGTGCTCTTAAGAGAAGGGCAAGTCAGAGACTTGTCCTGTGTGACCGTCAGGGCCTGGAGAGGGCAGCTTCATAGGCTGGGGCTCTCACTTCTCTGGGCCCCATGAGGCTTGCGGGTTGGTTGCGGGCAGGGACCTTGTCCACCCAGTTCTGTGTCCTCTGGTGGTGCTCTGCTTATTGTAGATGTTGGGAAAACATCAGTGGAAGGAAGGAGAACAGGTGTAAATGACAGCAGGAGAGGCTGCAGTTAGACATGGGGAAGAACTCCGGGACTCTGTTTGAAGCCTGAGAAAGCTCCTTCTACTTTGGTGTTTTGTATAACGGGCTGCTTTAGGGGCAGCAGCTTCCACTTCTTGTGTCCCCACTGTGTGCCTGGCACCCTGTCCAGTACATTGTGCCCATCGGGTCATTTCATCCTAGAAACAGCCCCTGGGTGTGGAATCGTCCCCATGTTTCAGATGAGGAAAAAAGGTGAAGTCAGTTGAGGTGTGGCAAAGCTGGGACTTAAAACGAAGTCTGCCCAACTCACGAGCCCGTGCTCTTTCCTGTTCCTGAAATTATTTTAGTCAGGTCCTGCCTCTAGGTAGGATGGAGCCCATCCCCTCTCCCCATCCATCTCATTGGGACTGAGATGCTGAACAGCTTAGCTTAGGGGCATCGCTGGGGCAGAAGCCCACGTGGGAAGGGTGGGAGGGTCTTGGGGAGGAGGGTGGTGATCCCAGTCCCACCCTTCTCCGAAGGAGGAGTTTGAGGATCTGGAAGCTGTTCACAGGGAGGAGAAAATCACGCTGGAGGAGCTGAAGCGGAAGCACCAAGTGCTGGTGGAGGAGTTTGCGCAGATCCGGGAAGAGCGGGAGATCAACTCCAAGAAAAGGGTGGAGGCAGAGCAGGAGATGGTGCACATGGTGCGGGCGGCCACGCTCATCCAGGCCGTGTGGAAGGGCTACCTGGTGCGCTCCCTGCTCAGATCCAGGAAGAAGCGGGGCAAGGGCAAAGCAAAGGACAAGGAGAAGGGCAAGGAGAAAGGCAAGGGCAAGAAATGAGCTCTCCGCCCCAGCCTGCTCCTGACCCTCATCCTCCCGGAGACCAGCCCCGGAAGCCGCCAGGATGGAGAGCACTAGATTCATGACTTTCGTGATGTTTTTATTGAATGAATTAAAAAGCATTTGAAGCCACATTGAAGGGAACACTCTACAAATACATCTCTTTACCCAGGGCTGTGGGCTGTGTGTGTCCTAGCTCACAGATGCTGTTTCTGCGAGGAGCGTGCAGCCTGGGGTGTCAGCCCAGAGATGATGGTTCCTACTTCAGCCTTAGCCGGGAAAAGAGACCCCAGCTGCAGCCCGGAAGCCGCCATGGCCATGATGGACAATCACCCACCAGGGCAGCGGGGTGTGGGTCACAGATGCCCATAGGGGGCACAGAGGCAGGCAGGGAACTCCAGGAGGATCAGGGCTCAGGTTTCAGGCTGCCCCTGACCCTGTTGTGGGATTAGTTTGCTGGCAACTTCCCCAACTCCAGCACTGAAAGCTCAGGGGGAGTCCTGGGGTGACCGCAGCCCTCAGCCTCACATTCCAGGGAGTTGAACAATTACCTAAAACAACATTTTTTTTTTTAAATATTTAAAAAGTTTTTAGGCCAGGAGCGGTGACTCACACCTGTAATCGCAGCACTTTGGGAGGCTGAGGCAGGCAGATCACTTGACCTCAGGAATTTAAGACCAGCTTGGGAAACACAGCAGAACCCCATGTTTTATTTTTTGTCTACAAAAAATAAAAAAATTAGCTAGGCATGGTGGCACACTCTGGTAAGTCCCACCTACTTGGGAGGCTGAGGTAGGGGGATGGCCTACCTCAGGGAAGGTTGAGGTTGCAGTGAGTTGAGATTATGCCACTGCACTCCGGTCTGAGGGGCAGAGCAAGACCTTGTCACAAACAAAAAAAATGTTGTGTAGAGACGGGGTCTCACTGTTGCCTAGGCCAGTCTTGAACTCCTGGCCTCAACTGATCCTCCTGCCTTGGCCTCCCAAAGTGCTGGGCTTACGGGCATGAGCCACCACAGCTGGCCTGAACAATTATTTTTAAATTATTTGTTAGCATTTAAAAAACTGAGGGCTACCACATAGAAATCCAACTTTCTCCCTTTTCTGGGAAGAAATCTAATTATCCAGATACCCCAGGCATGCACATCTTCTAGGGCTCAGCAGCAGCAGCTCTCTTTAGATAGTAGAGAGTAGGTTGCCCCTGTCCCCACCACCCCCAAACTGCCTTCCAGACACCACAGCCTGGGGTCAGTCACCCTTTTGTATTGGCTTGGGCTATGGCCAGATTTTACTGTAGTTGGGAGGAAAGAGAGGTGTATCTTTTTCTTTTCTTTTTCTTTTTTTGCATGTACTTAGGGCACAATATCTTTTTCGTTTTTAAGACAGCCTCGCTCTGTCACCCAGGCTGGAGTGCACTGGTTGGGTCTCAGCTCACCGCAACCTCCACCTCCCAAGTTCAAGCAATTCTCCTGCCTCAGCCTCTCAAGTAGCTTGGATTACAGGTGTGCAACACAATGCCTGGCTACTTTTTGTGTTTTTAGTAGAAACAGGGTTTTGCCATGTTTGCCAGGCTAGTCTCAAGCTCCTGACCTCAAGTGATCCACCCACCTTGGCCTCCCAAAGTGGTGGGATTACAGGCGTGAGCCACCACGCCCAGTCAGGAAAGAGAGGCATTTCTGGCCCATGTCATGAAAACAAAGGGGAAGATGGGAAGGCAAAAGCAAGATGGATGTTTCAGGAAAAACCGAGGTGGGCGTGGATAACTATTTGTGAAAATTCCAGGAAACTTAGACATTCTATATGTTTAAAACACACAATGCAGCCGGGCGCGGTGGCTCAAGCCTGTAATCCCAGCACTTTGGGAGGCCGAGGAGGGTGGATCACGAGGTCAAGAGATCGAGACCATCCTAGTCGACATGGTGAAACCCCGTCTCTACTAAAAAATACAAAAAAGTTAGCTGGGCATGGTGGCGTGTTCCTGTAATCCCAGCTACTCATGAGGCTGAGGCAGGAGAATTGCCTGAACCCAGGAGGCGGAGGTTGCGGTGAGCCGAGATCGCGCCATTGCACTCCAGCCTGGGTAACAAGAGCGAAACTCCGTCTCAAAAAAAAAAAACAAACAAAAAAAAACACGCAATGCAGCTGGATGAGGTGGCTCATGCCTGTAATCTCAGCATTTTCGGAGGCTGAAGTGGGAGGATCATTTCAGGCCAGGAGTTTGAGACCAGCTTGGGAAACACAGTGAGACTCACATCTCTTTTTCCCCCTTTTTTATTGTTTTTTTACTGGAAAGAATGAAATCCCTCTCTATAAAAAATTTTTTTAAAAAATTAGCCAGGCATGGTGCTACATGCCTGTAGTCCCAGCCACTCAGGAGGGTGGGGGGAGGATGGTTTGAGTCAGGAGGTTAAGTCAGCAGTGAGCTATGATCGAGCCACTGACTGCAGCCTGGGCAACAAAGTGAGGCCTGGCCTCGAAAAAACTCAAACAGAAACCAAAAAGCAAAGCCTGTCTGCATGAGAGCGCAGCTGGCCTGCCTGACCCCACAGGTGTTTCCATGTGTCCCTGATCCTCGGCACTTCGGGTCTCCCTCCCCAGCAGCATCCGCTCTTCTCTGCCCCAAGGCAGGGGTACCACCAATGATGTGGCTTCCAACTGGACTCCTAGAATCCTGGTGCTTCCTGGAGGTGACTTACAGGAAGATGGAGGCAAGGAGAGGCCCAAAGCCCAGCCCCCACTGCCAAATCTGGGTGCAATTCCATCTGAGCAAAGGCTTTGCTGCTTTTCCTAAGTCCTGGGCTCCATCCTAAGTGCTCTGGAGATGCCTGTGTCACTGTCTGGCTTTCTTGGACCTTCCACTTGGCAAAGTCCTAGCCATTGTGTTTTATTTCTCACCTTCTCTCTTTCTCTCACACACACGCCTTAAAAAAATACTATTGTCTGTGTTCTGAGCTTAGGAAGAGCCAGACAACCACTGGTTAGTGGCATTAGCCAGAAACCAACGGGAGGAAGAGTCCAGTGTTTCTTGAGGCCTCAGGTTCGCAAACTTCAGTCACTCACTCCCCACTGTCCTGCTGTCTGCCACATCCTGGTACTGCATGTTGTATCTAACTTCGTTATTTAAACCAACTCAGGCCTAACAATGTCCTTTACTCTAAGGGGAAAGAAAAAGGAATACTCACGGCTTCGATGAGCTGATATATTTAGTACATGAACATAAATACAGAGCCATATTAAGATGAAAGTGTTCACTCACAAATCTCCCAGTTGCCCTTGCGTTCCCCAGGCTTCACGCGCAGCCTGGAAAAACTCCTCTAAGGCTTTCAGACTCAGTTGGAAACTAATCCTGAGCACGAAGCGTGGCTTGAAGGGAGGGGAGGGGGCCTCCGGGTTGGCAATCGCACCGTTTATTTGCACTTGGCGGCAAGACAATGGATGATGTGGGAGGTACTAATTTGGAGTTGGCACTAATTTGGAGTGCGGTTGAGACAGGGCTGGAATGAGAAATCTTCAGGGCAGCCCCCCAAATCCGCAATCAGGGGAGAAAAAGTTAAGAAGCAAGTAGAGATTGGGAGGAGAAAAGGGAGGCACTCTGCCCGCCCCTGCTATGTCTGTCTGCCCCTACTGGGGCTTCTTCAATACCTAGGGTTCCCTGGGTGATGAATGTCCTCCCAGAGGACCCTGACAAGGGGTCACACCTCTCGCTGTGGCCCCATAGGCAACCCTGATGAAAGAGTATCATTTCCAAGGGGGCTTTGGTTTCTGGGTGGCCCCACCTTGTCGTGGGGTAGCTGGCACTGAAATGCTGACTGAACGAGCCCTGGAAGTCACCAGGGGGCTCCGGAAGTTCACCCCTGATGTGGAAGGTCTGGGATCCTGAGGCCTATTTGTGTGGGGGGCACTGGTGGCTGGATGACCAGTGCTGGGGAGATTCAGGTGGGTGAGGGAACGGGAAAGTCCCCGCCTCAGGGGGTGTGAAGAGCGTAACCCATCCATGGATAACTCCTGGGAGTCTGCTGCCACCCGGGGCTCTGTCTTGGAGGGACCAGCTGGGTGAACGGCTCGCAGTGGGGCCTCCCTAGGGCGAGGTGAATGGCTGCCCCTGGGGGTAGCTGGTGGTGTCCAGAAGAGAGCACGGAGTTTTGCGGCATCCCCCTTCGCCATCCGTGGGGCCTTGAAGCTGGCGCCCTCAGATCTGGAGCCAAATAGCGACTCATCACAGTAAGATGGGGTGTGGCTGATCAGTCTGGCAAAGGGGAAGATAAATGTCGTGAGATGGGGGATGAGATGAACAACCCTCAAAACCTTAACAGCTCTCCCACCCATCCCCAGACCCTGGCAGCAGCAGAGAAGGGTTGCCTGTAGATCCCAGGAGTCCCTGTCTCCCAGGCTGAAACCTACAGCGAGGCCACAGCCCCCTGATGCACCACTGCCCCCATCTCGGTTGATTCTCCCCCACGAAATATCCACTGCCCCTGCATCCTGACCCCATTCCCAGGCATGTGGCCCAGGCCAGGCCAATTTGCATATTCATCCTCCTGGCCACATGGATTGGTTCAGGAATGGCCAGATGACGCAAGCCTGTCCAATCAGAATCTGCCTTAGGACCGTTGTGGAAACTACTTGGAGATGTTTTTCTGCAACCTGATCTTACTTCTTGCTAGGCTGATAGGATGTCAGCCCAAAGTAGCACTAAGGTGGAGACGGACAGTTTCAGCCACAGTTTGAGCCCGTTACAGGAGCCCCAAATGCCTTTTCCTGGGGAAGCCAGTTGGAATAAGTTTTCTGTCACTTGTAATCAAGACTCAATTAGTATAACCTTAGTCTTTACGGCCTCCGCCTTTTCTTTTTTTGGCAAGACACAGTCTCGCTCTGTTCAAGTGGATTGCAGTGGTGCAATCACAGATCATGGCAGCCTCAAATTCCCAGGCCCAAGCAATCCTTTCACCTCAGCCTCCCTAGTAGCTGAGACTACAGGCACAGTGCCACCAAGCCCAGCTCATTTTTTTGTTTTTGATTTTCAGTAGAGATCAGGTCTCACTATGTTGCCCAGGCTGGTCTGGAACTCCTCGGCTCAAACAATCCCCGCCTTAACCTCCCAAAGCGTTAGGATTATAGACATGAGTCACTATGCCCATTTTCTTTTCTTTTCTTTCTTTCTTTTTTTTTTTTTTTTGAGATGGAGTCTCACTCTGTTGCCCAGGATAGAGTGCAATGGCACACTCTTGGCTCACAGCAACCTCTGCGTCCCCGGTTCAAGTGATTCTCCTGCCTTAGCTTCCCGAGTAGCTGGGATTACAGGCATGTGGTACCATGACTGGCTAATTTTTTTGTACCTTTAGTACAGATGGGGTTTCACCATGTTGGTCAGGCTGGTGTGCTGGGATTACAGACGTGAGCCACTGTGACCCACTTTTCTCTTTTTTTCTTTTTTTTTTTTTGAGACGGAGTTTCACTCTTGTTACCCAGGCTGGAGTGCAATGGCGCCATCTCGGCTCACTGCAACCTCCACCTCCTGGGTTCAAGCAATTCTCCTGCCTCAGCCTCTTGAGCAGCTGGGATTACAGGGACATGCCACCATGCCCAG